CATGTTGCGGTGGGCCTCAAAACCACTGGGATTTGGATACTATTTTAACATCAGGAAATTTTTTAAAAGAGACTTCTTTAAAAAAAAGCGTGTTTATATCACACCAACATGACAGTGGACACACTGTTCTATCCAAACAGCTTCTAAAAAGTTTATACCCTTTAACGTGTATACCTTACATTTCAAACTGTGATGCTTAGGTTCATAAAAGAAATATTTGCACAATCTCTGTCAGAGATAAACATCTTAGCATCCTAAACAGACACACTCATATTCACTCACAGGCCACTTTATTAGGTACACCCTTGCAACTGCTCGTTACTGCAAATTTCTAATCAGCCAATCACATGGCAGGAACTCAATACATTTAGGCATGAAGACATGATCAAGTTGATCTGCTGCAGCTTAAACCGAGCATTAGAATGGGGAAGAAAGGTGATTCAAGTGTCTTTGAATGTAACATGGTTGTTGGTGCCAGAGAGGCTGGTCTGAGTATTTTTAGAAACTGCCATCTCTAGGGTTTACAGAGAATGGTCCGAAAAAGAAAAAAAATCCAGTGAGCAGCAGTCCTGTGGGTGCAAATGCCTTGTTGATGCCAGAGGTCAGAGGAGAACGGCCAGACAGCTCACAGAAAGGCAACAGTAACTCAGATAACCACTTGTTACAACCGAGGTATGCAGAAGAGCATCTCTGAACGCACAACACGTCCAACCTTGAAGCGGATGGGCTACAGCAGCAGAAGACCACACCGGGAGCAACTCCTGTCAGCTAAGAACAGGAAAATGAGGCTACAATTTGCATAGGCTCACCAAAATTGGACAATAGAAGACTGGAAAAACGTTGTCTGGTCTGATGAGTCTCCATTTCTGCTGTAACATTCAGATGATAGGGACAGAATTTGCCGTCACATCCTGCCTTGTATCAATGGTTTAGGCTGGTAGTGGTGGTGTTATGGTGCGAGAGATATTTTTTTGGCACACTTTGGGCCCATTAGTACCAATTGTTCCTGACCATGTCTATCCTTTTATGACCACAGTGTACCCATCTTCTGATGGCTACTTCTAGCAGGAAAACGCGCCATGTCATAAAGTGTAAATCATCTCAGACTGGTTTCTGGAACATGACAATGAGTTCACTGTACTCAAATGGCCTCCACAGTCACCAGATCTCAATTCAATGGAGCACCTTTGGCATGTGGTGAAACGGGAGATTGGCATCATGGATGTGTAGCTGACAAATCTGCAGCAACTGCGTGATGCTATCATGTCAATATGCAGCAAAATCTCTGAGGAATATTTCCAGTACCTTGTTAAATCTATGCCACGAAGGATTAAGGCAGTTCTGAAGACAAAAGGGGGTCCAACCCGTACCTATTAAAGTAGCCGTAGAGTGTATGTTACACATTAAGTAATCTTAGGGGCTTGTTCAAATCCCTAACCCAAAGTTTGATGCTTGCCACAGTATTCACCACTACTAATAAACAGGTGGAAGCATGGAGAGCACAGACTGAGAATGAGAGACATCCAAATGAAGGGTTAGAGCACGACTTCACTCAACAGCCTGCTTATATTAGTGCTGCAACCTTCACGAAGGAGAGAATGAGAAAGAAAGAAAAAAAAAAAAGAAGCACTGAAAGTATGAGAACAGACGGAGACGGGAAAACAGACCCCTCAAGACTTCACAACAACTTCATAAATGTGGAGTTAATCAAAATATTGTTCAAAGATCTGGCAGTGAATGAGAAGAATGCTGAATCAGCATCACGAGGGGTTTCAGAACTGTAAATGTGTTCGGGGGTGTTGACAGCACACACACACACAGAGAGAAAGAGAATATCAGCTAATGCAGGAGAGGACACAAACAACACACAACGATAAACTTGTGTGAACAGTATATTCGGTATAGTGCTGATAATGACAACTGATCGCACAATTCTGCTTATAAGACATTTATAAAGTATAAATAGTCCTCATTTTAGATTAGGTTACAAAACTGGACGGAGTTGAGTTAATAAAGCATTAGTAACTATTAATATACGCCTAAAAAATCAGATATATAAATGGTAATTTGAATAGTTTATTAATCATTTACTTATTCTTTCTGAATGATCTTAAAAAACACCAACTATTCTTGAATGACTGGTTTGCAAAAAACGCAATACACATTTTAGTAATGAAAATGAATCTTGAACAAGGTGTAAAAACACAATGATTAAGCACATTAATTGTGCTCATAAGTCATGAATACAGCATTTGTAGCACTAACGTCAATTAATGTAGAGTTAATGCTTAACAAATAATGAATTAACTATTTGCTAATGTAAAATAAAGGGTTTATTGTGTGTAGTTATTATAAAGTGTTACCAAGAATGGTGTATTGCACAGAAATATTAAATGTTTAAAGCAACTCAGACTCACTCTGAAAACTTAGTCCCGCGGACGGTTCTGGAGACCGCAAAATAGGTCCAGGAGGCTACGTATTTTTGCAGTTTTTGTTTTCGTGAATCCGCGAGAGGCCGCTGTTTGCGCTTTTTCGCATCATAAATGCCTCTTGCGAGTGCCGTTCGCTACCGCACTGTTCTCGTGTGAACCCATCAGAGGCTGCTGTCGACCGACTGAATGACTGACTGGGCAACCGGCCAATTAACCGACCCACCCTCCTCCTTCCCTAAATCAAACCAATTTTAACAACTGACCTACTCGCCCACTCATTTCCCTAAACCCCGCCGACGGTTAACAAAAGCCATCCAGAAAAAGAAAAGCCCTTGTCTGATTTTGACGTTTTCGGATTTCACCACATACTCACCCTGTTGTTCACTCGTTCGTTTTATTTTATGGATTCTGTTTCTGTCTCACCTGATTTCTGGAACCGCTCTTCCCCGGACTTAAACCCGGTCATCGCCGTGGTCAACTCCTCTCTGCATCTCAAGTCCACCAACGCACACAACGAGCTAACTGGACAAACTGGTTGCGGTGGGAAAGCCCTCCCACATGGAGGTAAGCGGTCAGCCGGAAAGCCCCAAAAGGAACGGTGTCATACTGTCCCGTAGCGTTCGCTTTAAAAAATTATGCAGCCATGCGTACCTCCGGTTATGTAATTTGTGGTCTCCAGAAATGTCCGCAGGACTAAGTTTTCAGAATGAGCCTATGTTGCAATGAAAATGCAATGATGCATCATATAAAGAAATCACATTATAGCATATATTAAAACATAAGATGGTTTAAATTTTATTTATTTTCAACTAAGGTATTGTTTACTGTATTATTTCCTCAAACTAATGTAGCTTTGGTAAGCAGACAACATTTCAAATTGTTGATAAGCAGAAAGCAAATTCGGTCCACTTTACACAACAGAGAAATCTCATTTGAATCTGTTTTGAGAGTGTGGAAAGAGTCAGACAAGTATTATAACAAGCGGAAATACGGCAAATTAGATTTCCAATGGTACTGGGAATCCAACAGGATGGTCTGAAATTCTCTTTAATAAACAGACGCCTACATCTGAGTGCAGTGAAAGTTTAAATGTTGAGCTTGCCTTGCAAAGATGGTCAACTGAAGGAACAAATACTGGGTTCTAATGCTTCATTTCCACTGAGATGTATGGTTCAGTACAGTGCAGTACAGTATGGTTCAGAACAGATCACCTTAAACAGGCTTGCATTTCCACTGCCAACAATACCCCCTACTTGGTAGACATGGTGTAATATGTTGAAAAAGAACTCCACATCCCATGTTGCGACGTTATGTTTAAGTCTATGTGGTTATGTGCTTGTTTCCCCCATGATCTCACACTGCCCTTCTTTAAGGACAGTCTAGGAGGGTCTTTTTTTGCCTCGCTTTTCCTCAATGTATCTTATTTCCTATTTACTATGCTACCTCTCATCTGACTGGTCTTCCTCTGAAATGTGTGATTTTTGTGTATGGTCGGAGGGGTCTAATGTCGCTACATGTAAAAGTGTATGTGATAAATAAAGATTTTTTTATCATCATCATCATCATCAAGAAGTGATCGATGTCATTCTTGCTCAAAGAAGAAAGCCATATGGGCTATTTATACACTGGTTTGGTACTCTACTTCTCTGTTAGGTCCCAAAAAGTGGTACGGTGGTACTTCTGACAGTAGAAATGGACATAAATGCATACCGTACTGTACTTTAACAAACTGTACCACTCAAATAAAATTAGCCATAAAAATGATGCCTATATACACTGTAAAAATATCTGTTAATCAACAGTTTCTGTATTTTGTGATTCTGTTTTCAGTTTATTTACGGTTGTGAATTGTATTATGGGTTGTTGATCTCTGCTCTGCAGAGTTTAGATGTTGAAAATTCAACCTTACAGTATAACAAAGTGACTTTTATTGACATTTTAGTAGTTTAAAATTATATTATGTATAAGAAAAGAAAAATAAGTCTGTAAAATAACAGAAGATATACCGGCAATTAATTACAATATATTAGCTTATTTTATAACTCCAACATAGATGATATATCACTTTAAACTATTAAAAAAAACATAAAAAGAAAACACTTTTTTTGGACATTTTCGGGGTTAAAATTTGTTGAAAAAAAGATCAAGATCCCATAATGCAATTCAAAAGCATAATTACATGGAAAAATAAAAAGGCAAACCACAAAATACAGACAACTGCAAATTTGCAGATATTATTTCAGTGTAGATAACTACAAAAAACATATTGCATCCACATTTATTCACAATATTTCTATGTAGATTATAAGTGTGTGCTTCAATCTGTTTTAAAGCATGTTGCAATCTGATCGGCTATCTATGATTTTATTGTTTATTGATTGTAAAAAATAAATAAATAATCCAATGATTTAGTTTATCTGTGGAACTATTATTAGGATTGTAGAGTGGACTTTCAAACATATTTTGTTTTAAATTAATCATTTTTAGCATCTACTATGGTTAAAAATGTAGAAAAGTAGCTAAAGGAGTAGAAAAGTAGCACACACACACACACACACACACACACACCTCTGTTATGATGAAGAAATCATCTCCTGGCTCTCCCTGCACTACGATCTTCTCTCCATCTTCAAACTGCACAGGCTCCAGAGCATCAGCCACCGTCAGCCTCTCCCACTTATCCAGCGATTCTGTAACAACATACAACCATGCATTGTTGAAATCAGAATTCACACTTTAAATGAAAATGACACTAAATTACTGTACTTCCTCTCATCAACAACAAAATCTAAAATCAATCGGCATCATTTACAGTACATCATACAGTATGTTTTCATTTAGACTTGTGTAGTACTTCTTACAGTACTTCTGTAAGAACTTCTTACAGTACTTCTGTAAGAACAGTACTTCTGTAAGTACAGTACTTCTGTTTCATGCTTTAAATGCAATCTGTTTTGCCCCTTTCCTCAATATATAATAGTCCCGGTTGTAATGTAATAAATTTGTTTTTCTCAAGGTCTCGGATGCAAAAAAAAGATGCTATAGCAAAAGCACCCTTACATATTTTCTACTTGCTCAAATTGACCAAAAAATGGCAGTACAATTTTAAGAGGTCCTATTTTTATTTATTTTTTATTTTTTTAATGCTTGTCAGTGAGTAGTGTGTATGTTTGGGCCTAAAACATATCTACAAAGTTACAAATTGTAAAGTCCACTCCAACGAGTCCAAAACTGAAAATCTTTTCAAGAGCTACAACAAATGGCTCAATTGGACTACAAGATGTCACAAAGGAGCCCAGATCCCACCTACAGAACCATGTTTGGCATGCAGTCCTGGGAGAGAACCCTGAGCTCAGGTACAGTTGAAGTCAGAATTATTAGCTCCCTTGAATTATTAGCCCCTGTTTATTTTTTTTCTCAATTTCTGTTTAACGGAGAGAAGATTTTTTTCAACACATTTCTAAACATAATAGTTTTAATAACTCATTTCTAATAACTGATTTATTTTGACTTCGCCATGATGACAATAACAAATATTTGACCAGATATTCTTCAAGACACTAGTATTCAGCTTACAGTGACATTTAAAGGCTTAACTAGGTTAACTAGGCAGGTTAGGGTAATTAGGCAAGTTATTTTATAACAATGTTTTTTTTTTCTGTACTGGACTATTGAAGAAAATATATAGCTTAAAGAGGCTAATAATTTTGACCTTAAAATGGTTTAAAAAAATAAAAACTGCTTTTATTCTAGCTGAAATAAAAGAAATAAGACTTTTTCCAAAAGAAAAAAAAATATTATCAGACATACTGCAAAAAATTCTTGCTCTGTTAAACATCATTTGGGAATTTTTTTTAAAAAGAACAACAATTTCAAAGGGGGGCTAATAATTCTGACTTCAACTGTAGGTTTCAAGAACTCCCCTGAATTCATTCATTCGACCTATTCCTTGAGTATTGGAGGTCAACATGATGGAATGTATCGCCAACCACACCAGTACATGCCTATGTGGTGAATGCCCAGTACTAAAACACTCATATACAGTGCCAATTTGGTTTATTAGATTGACTTACACCACATGTCTTTGGAGTGTGGGGGAAACCAGAGCACCTGGGGGAAACCCACATGAATACGGGGAGAACATGCAAACTCCACACAGAAACGCCAACTGGCTCAGCTGGGACTCAAACCAGCCACCTTCTTGCTGTGAGGCAACAGTACTAACCACTGAGTCACCATGCCACCCTATCCTAGATTAATATGAAAGAGGGGGAAGAGTAGGGGTGGATAGGGGGATTCTTCCAGACGAAGACGACTAAGGTAAGAAAATCTGGTTATTTATGAACGTTTGGATTCATATGAATGGTAAATCATGTTATAGCTAATGCGGGACTAGCCGTGGTCAATCATAAGCATGTGATCCTCTCGAAATTCTGTTTTAATTAAATTTAATTTTAAAATTAAATTTTTTTTTGTCATTTATTTTGGGAAAAGCTTGGTTATGGATGTGACACCTCTTTGTTATGGATGTGACAGATGTAAAATTGACTCTTGTGCGACTTTGGTCAATCAATGATAATAGTTTGAAAACACTGACAGAGATAATATTGAGTATTTTTACAGTACTGTAAGCACAAAATGCAAAAAGGGCCTATGGGGTTTTGCTATTTTGGTGAAAACTTAATTTTTTCATGGAAAGGTTGACATATGCATGGAATTGCTCAAAAGAGTGGACCCTTACATGTGATATATTGGATACCATTATTGGCAGAATTTTCCATCAATATACTGAGACGAGTGTAAATCTGAAATCATTGGCAATGCATTAGAATAATAAGACTTTGAGAGAAAATAACAAAACTTTCATAGAAAAAGTTGAAACTCCAACACAAACATCCACAGTTGGATGTTTTTATAGACCCTTTCCAGAGAACAGTCCCCCCCCCCCCCCACATCCGGTGCTCCATGAGTGAGCAGTGGGCGTGACATCAGAGGCTCAGACTAATGCTTTCATAAATAAACTGACTAATCGGAAAGACACCAAGACTTATGATGAACTTCCTGGAGATATATATGCAGCATAGACCTGAAACTGGATGAGCTTCTGTTGCTCACAGACTAGCAAGAAAGAAAAAAAAAACCTGCCATCATTCAATACCCAGCACATTCCAGAAACACTTCCCAGCGTCCAGCATCCATCAAAGAGCTGTACCACACACGAACACACCAAAACCCTCTGGACATCTCCGGCTGCAAACCATAACACCCAGAATTTCACCACAAGTTCACCACTGAAGGCACTTTAAGCTGGAAACCATTTGGGTTTATTCAATGAAAATGTAAAACTCTGTAGAATTAATAAACCTACTTTTTTCCCAATATTTTTTCATTATGATTATTTATATTCCATAATTATAAAAAAATGATAAAAAAAAAAACGATTCACATAGAGCGCCTAAAGAAAATCAGCATACCGCTTTAAAATAATGTCTTTATTGGTCATACAGCCTGAAATCAAATCACATTACAAATAACATTTCCAGCCTTTGAAATGTTTTTTTTCAAAGCTTCTTCTAACCTGTATCTTCAAACAACTGTATACTGAAGGTCTTTAAAAAGCAGGGTAAAGCTATTGACCTTATTCTAAAATGCGGAAGTGCGCCTGTTTTCGCGATTGTCTTAGAACTTCCGATCCAGTCGCCTATGGGAGAAATGACTAGGAATAATAAACGGCAGAAAATGGTCAAACTACTTGCTCAACAAACAAATGTTTTCATGACTACACAGACCAAGTAGCATAATATAATAAGAAAATATTAAATTGCAACATCAAGCAGCGTAATGAGCAGTTGTTAACGTCAAAAAATGAATGGAAGTGAATGTGACCGGAAGTCACGAGACAAAAAGATTCAAATGGCAGCGCCCACTCGTCAGCTGAGAATAAGGTGAATAGATGTTCACAGGGTTTGATTATTTTCTATAGGCACTCTACACAATATATACAGGCTTGAAGATTTTTCAGCTAATCCTCAACTTTGCTCATCACCATAGTCATATTAATAACCCTATAAATGAATATAACAGAAGCCCAACACAACATTAAAGACTATGGACTATGCACAATAACACTTTTTAAGCATTTATTGCTTATTTGGATGCTGGACAAGAAGGTCTCTGGTTTGAGTCCCGGCAAAGCCAGTTGGCATTTCTGTGTGGAGTTTGTTTGTTCTCCCCACGTTGGAGTGGGTTTACATTAAAGTCGGTCTTAGCCATTTTTAATTTTCTTTTAGTTGTCATATTGATCGCCTCAAACCAACTTTAGGTTTTTATTGTCTTTTAAAAATTGTTTCTCCTTTGCAGCTTGAAAACATTTAGTTGAGAGTATATTTCTATTAGTTCTAGATTTTAAGAAAACTAACCATTTAAAACGTAGAGATTGCATTAATTTAAAAGAGATCGATTGATATAAAGCAATATAAATAAATATTAAATAAAAGTAGAAATGGTGCATTTCAGGATTTGGGCTCCACGGCTGGAACTGCTTAGGGCGCCAAAATCACTAAATCCGCCCATGGCTGTGGCAACCCCTTACAAATAAGATGACTAAAATGAATGATGAATACATGGATTCTGGAAACTAGATTTGTTTTTCTTAATAGATTTAAGTTCAGCTTAATACAATAAAATTTTGAATTCACTTAACTTTTTTCTATTAAGTTCAATGAACTTTCACCTATATTTGACTGAACTTACACTGTTAAAAATCTTGCAGCCTTAAATATTTTAGTTGAGTCAAATGAACTTTTCTAGTCATCTCAACTTACATCACATCAATCAAACAGACTCAAACTATGAAGTTAAACTTTGTATAACTTAAAAAATGTAGTTAAAACCTAATTAACTTATTAAAGTTTAATAAACTTATTAAATTAATTTAAAGCAACTTAAAAACTTTTGTTGTGATGACTATTTGTAGCTTAATTAACTGAATTAATTTTACTGTTTGGATTTATGGTGTGTTTTGAATCTATATGCATCACCAAATGTGCTAAACAAATAAATCTGGGATGAATTTAATAAGCGATGCATCTGACGTTAGTCACTCTTCATTTCCCATCATCCCCGTGCAGGACAGTAGCAGATCATCATTCATTCTCAGATCTGACCTCAGAACAGTGTGTGTTAAGTGTGTGTGTGTGTGTGTGTGTGTGTTAAGTGTGTGTGTGTGTGTGTTGGGGCCGGCCTGTCTGCATGCCCCAGACTAATGGTCACTTTATCAGGCTGGCTAAGACATCCTCACGGCCGGGCAGACGTCCACCTGCTTCAGTCGTAACCTGAGCCATCAGCCAGAGCAAAACCAACATCTCATGCTTCAACCCAAAAAAAAAAAACTGTGTAAAGTGTGTGTCAGGGTTAGCACCTTAGACTTTAAGGATATTTTAATGTAAAAACAAAAAACTAAAATATGTCTCTGGGTGATAAAGCATTAATATAAATGTAGGCCATCTATGACACTATTTTTTCAGTTTGAGAAAACATAAATTAATATCATGATTAAATTTTTGAATACTGAATATTCATTTCCCCAATAAAAGTATTATATATATCAAAGGCGGTTCATTCCGCTGTAGTTAATAAAGGGACCCCTGATAACCCCTGATTAATAAAAGGACTAAGCTGAAAAGAAATT